ATGGATGGACAAGGCAGAAAAATATGGCCCACAGTTAAATCTGTCATATCAATCATTGTAGGGCTGGCTAACAGTGAGAAATAGAATAGCATCTCACTCCTGAGAGGTCTCCTCTACTCTGCCTCTTGGATCTTGCAGGATAGTGCTCTGGGTGGCCTTGGACTGACCCAGTTCTCCCCACTTTCTCACTTGTAGTTCTCAAGAATAACTGCAGAATGTGCTAGAAATGTAACATCTTGAGATAAAAGGGAACTGACCAGAAGAGTCCAGGCTCTATTCTAGTCCTAACCTAGAAACAGAATGTCCTTCAGTGTTTTACCCCAGTAATTGTCCTGAGATTAAAAAAACCTTAGGGTGGGCTGCTTTCTGGGGTCCCTTAGCTGCGGTGCAAGTGGGGCGCAGCAAGCTGAGACTTCATCTGCCCCGAGGAGCTTTCCTGAGCCTTGGGGGCCTGGTTCTTTCCCCAGTGACACCTAGACCTTTATTGTCCCTTGCGGCCTGCCTGTAATAAATCCACTTGATGCAACTTGTTGCCTATGAGTGCTCCACCTCGTAGAACCCAGACTGCACAGTGAGATTGCTTCATAGGTCTCTCTCTTTTCTGTAAGCTGACCAGCCTATCTCCTCAGAAATTGCTATTAATTCCCAGGACAGAGAGGGCATGGTAGAAGAATGGGGTTTTCTAGGCCAAGTTGCCCTCTAGCTATTCTTCTGACTCAGCTCTGGAAAATGGGTCAATGAGGGAGAGGAACAGTGCTAGCTGGGCCTGGAGGGTGAAGTTCTAGAGTCCAGAGATATGAGAAGGGGAGCTGAACCAGCTTCCAAAGAATGTTCCTTTTAGCTTTTCTTATCCAAGGAAAGAATGGGTCTTAGTAGATGTGTAGGCACAATGATGGGCCTAAGTAGCTCTGGAGAATCTGGAGGGGACCTTCTCTAGTCAGCCTCACCCTGCTCCTATCACCTTCAAGGAATCTGGTGGACTAGCTATGTCCCATCTCTTCTACCCCTGTGTGTCTTAGGACAGATAAGTGGGAATGAGGAGAAACTTGGAGAAAAGAGAAACACTCCTTATCTGATCTCTAATCCTGAACCAAACCCTGACCCCCCAACCTTAATGATGGTTCAAATGTCTCCAAGAAGAGAGCACTGAAAACCTTGCAAACTTTACCCTAACAGTTACCAGTACACACCCTCATCCCCTTATCCAGTCTGCTGATTGCTGAGATTCTCAGAGCTGAATCCAACGAGTAAGAAATTGATGCAGGGAGGATACTGAGGAGAGTTATGAAAGGGAAAAGAGGTTCTTCCACAAAGAGGGAAACATGAGGAACAGATCCAGCAGAAAGTTACTCTGCTACCAAGTCTTATACTGCAATTCATTTCTGACACTGACTGCCCAAAGCCTAGCATCGACCTCCACACGTTTAGGGGGAAGGTCTCCAACATGACTGCCTCCACTTTAGATGACAGCCAAAAGGGTCCCCAAGCTACCCACATTTCTGACCAACTGACTATAAGTCTGGAAGTTTCTCACAATCGCCTCAGTTTTAGTAATTTGTTAGAATGAACAGAATTCAGGAAAGTGCTTATGCTTACAATTTTTTATACAATTAGGAAAAGCCGCAGGAAATGAAGAGACACATAGGATGAAGTCTGGAAGGATCTCAAATGCAAAGCTTCCTTCTGTGGTCTCTCCCCATGGAGACACAGGGTATACCACACTCCTGCACATCAATGTGTTCACCAACAAGAAAGTTTATAAGCTTTGGTTTCCAGGGGTTTTTTTTTGAGATTTCATTATGTCGGCATGATTGAATTGTCAGCTACATACCTGAACTTAACCTCATCCCCACTCCCCTCCCCAGAGGTGTGGCTGGCTCTAGGTCCCAACCTTCTAATCACATGGCTAGCCTTTCTGATGACCAGCTCCCATCCTGAGTCATCATATCCCATCTCTTAGCATAAATTCAGGTGTGAGGGTGGCACCTCTGGCTCAAAGGAGTAGGGCGCCGGCCCAGTATGCTGGAAGTGGCGGGTTCAAACCCAAGCCTGGCCAAAAAAAAAAAACTGCAAAAACAAAATAAAATAAAATAAATTCACATGTGAGCCTGACCAAGAGTGAGACCTTGTCTCTACAAAAAATAGAAAAATTAACCAGGTGTGACAGTGCATGCCTGTAGTCCCAGCTACCTGAGAGGCTGAGGCAGAATACCTGAGCCCAGAAGTTTGAAGTTGCATTGAGCCATAATAATGCCACTGTACTTCAGCTGGGTAAACAGAGCAAGACCTTATCTCAAAAAAAAAAAAAAAAAATTCAGGTGTGATCCAAGGGGCTCAATAATTGGGAAATTCCAATGATTTAATCTGTCTCAGGAACCAGGGATCAAGGCCAAACTATTTATCATATACCAGAAGTTTCTGAGCATTGAAAATGAAAGCTTTAGGAGACCATAAACAGAAGACAGCCACAGCCTCCCACAAGCTCCCACACACACGCATAGGACCCTCACAGGCCTCCAAGGACTCCCTCACATTCATGATCACCCTTCTGTTTACTCTCCCCTGTCCGACATCATGCACAATCTTACACAGGACTCCCCCATGCCACACACACTTGCTGCTCCCAAGGTCTCTGTCCCTGTGTTCATCTCTAACCATCCTTCATAGCTTCCTATATGGCAACACTCCTCAGCACATTGATTTTCTTGCCAAGAGGTAAAATGGGGCAGAAGTTAACAGTAAGGTGAGAGGCATAGCAGGGATCAGTGCATGGGTCTCAGGAGACCGTGAACTCGTGTCAACATCCAAGTCCAAGTATGAACCTGAGATTGTACATGTACCAAATAGATGTACCTTTGTGGTGATTTCCATGTCCCTGTGTGACATGCATAAAAACCCGTGCATTATGTGTATTCCTAAGCCATCTCTGCGCATGCCTGGGTCTTGTGTGTGCACCTGTGAGATGGAGATGAGCCTGTGCCCCAGGTGTTCCTTCACAGGTCAGTGCCTTCAGTCCTAGAGCCTTTGGGCATTCTTCTCACTATAGACTCAGTGTCATCTAGCCTAGGTTTCCTAGAGGAAGAAGATAGTGCCTGTGGGTGGGAAAGAAAGCAAAACTAAAGCTACAGCACTGAACACAGCCATCCTAATTCCAGGTAGGGCAGTGGCCTTCCTACTTTAGGGTCCCTAAACCTAATACCCATCCTCCAGCTCTCAGTGATGCCAATGACTCTGAGGACTTGGCTTCCTAGTGAACCAACACCCAATTCTTGAAAAGATTTTTGGTGCCTTCTGTAGCAGATTAACTTTGTCCTATGGGTAAGGCTACAGAGTGTACAGGCTCCTCCCCTTCCAATCATTTCCACCATCATCCAGGTCTCCATTCACCATTTCACTTCCCTTCTCTTTGCCCAGTACCTCCCATATGAAAGCCCCTAAAACAGGTTCCCAGATGTGGTCTTTGCCTTCTGCCTCTTATACCAAGGCCTTCCAGGAAGCTGAGTTCCAGGGACCCACTGTCTCTGAGTCTAGATTCAGGGTCACCTGAAGGTCCACTCACACTGAGGGTCCACCAGCTCTATGTATCCCCAGACCAGCCCTGGATAGACCAAATCATCTGGAGACTGAAGAAGGCATCTGTAAAGGCAAGCCTGGTCCTCCCTCCTCCCTCTGAGCCCCTGGAAGTCCAGCCCATGACCCTGCATCTCCTTCTTCCCACAGAGCAAGTGCCATAGCAGTTAGCTATGAACCACCAAAGGGAGCCCTGTGTCTGAGGAGGGGATGTGAGTCGCCCCAACCTAGGGAACCAAGGACCAGAAGGGAGAGCCAGGTCTCCAGCTCCTCAGCACCAGACCTGACCCAGCCAGGACAGGGCCTTGGAGCATCAAGGTGAGGGTGTGAGGGCATAGCTTCTCCACACCCAGACTACAATGCTTCTAATAAAGCTTTGGCACCCGTGGATCAATAAAGCCACTGGCACCCATGAATCGCTCTGCTGTCTGTGGCTCAGGCAGGGGAAGGCAGGTACAACAGAGAGAAACAGGGTGGACTGAGGGAGAGGACAAGGATTTCCATTCCTCACATTTCAACCTGAGGTAACTTTCACGTCACTCATTTCTGTGGTCTCTCCCATGCAGTCAGCCCAGCCAGGAGGCTTTCTTCTCCCCTCTCCAGACTAAGTATGGCTCAGTCTTGGGCCTTGGCTGGGATGTAATAGGCCCAGGGCAGCTATTTCAAACCTCCCACAATGTCAACTGCCCTTCTTGGCTCTTCCGTAGCACTCTAACTAGCTAGTCTGCTGTATTTACTTTACTGATCTAATTGTTCTATTTTGACTCCCAACCCACCCCAGATGGTAAGCTCTCTAAGGCCAGAGACTATGCTTGTCTTCTTTACTACTATATCCTTATACCCAGCACAGTGCCTGGCACCTAGTAGACACTCAGTAAATTTCTGTCAATTGAATGACTGCAGGTAAAAAAAAAAAAGAAGAACATAGGAAGATAGGTCTCAGCTGATAAGGACTAAGACCCTCAAGCCACTGAGTATCTTGGCCAAGGCGACTGAGCCAAGCATTTTCTTAGCCTGGCGTGGGTTCTCTCCAGGGGCCTATTCCTCTCAGCCCCCGGTCATACACGGGGTATGGGGCAGGCAAGTGAAGCAAGCGGCAAAGCCAAAGCCAGGAAGGAGAAGAGTGGTGACTAAAAAAACAGTACTGGACAGAGTCTCAATGCTCTCTTCTTTCTGCCTGGTGCTGAGACCTCCTGTTCCCAGGGTGTAACTCCAAAGTCCGACTCCATCCCAATAAAAAAGTCCTGTGCCAGGTATCTTAACAAACCCTGACTCCGCCCCTTTAGGGATAGCCACTGGCTCCACCTCCCAGAGTGTCATTTTGACTCCGCCTTCGCCAGGAGAAATGCCAACTCCACCCCTTCCGGGTGATAGGCAAGCCCCACCCCTAGAGCGCGACGACGTCCCTATGACGTAATGGTAACGGTCTGTTTCCGGGGTGGAGCCAGGGAGGGCGGGAGTTTAGGCTGCGCCGACCCCTCAGCCCCCCTCCAGGTGACCCCAGCCCCTGAAAATCCTCACCCAGCGCCCCAAATCTCCCAGCCCCATGACTGCCAAACCTCTCGCCATGTCCCCTTAAATACCCCAGGTCCCCGAGATGACCGACCTCCTAACCTTAACTTGTAGTGCGTCCTAAATCTTCAATCCCACCCTGTCCCAAAGTGGCAACTGAGGCTTCCCGAGGGCACCAGCCTGAGATTACCCGAGAATTAGTCAGACTCGTCCTGAGAATGACGGAGAAAGGGACCTGGAGTTGGGGGAACCTTTGATTCAATCATACTGCTCCCCAGGAGACGTTCGGAGCCCAGGACATGTCGGGATTGAGGAGATACGAGGTGGCGCTGGAGGCGGAGGAGGAGTGAGTGGAGGCGGGGTTCTGCGGAGGAGGAGCCAGGCGGCTCGGGGGTTGGGGGAGGGTGCGTGTTCTCCGGGGGCGAGCTACGCGGGCGGGGCGGGGCCTCCTAAGGGGCGTGGGCCGTGAAGGACCGCCTTTAAGGGCGGGGGCGGAGCCTTCCTCGAGGGCGAGATATCCAAGGGGCGGAGTCTGTGGGGTCAGCCCCGCCCCGCCCCGCCCGGCTCTAACTTCTGTCTGCAGGATCTACTGGGGCTGTTTCTACTTTTTCCCCTGGCTGCGCATGTGGCGGAGGGAGCGGAGGTGAGGGGGCTGCGATATCGCGGACCTGCCGGGGGCATGGATGAGGCTGAGTCTCTGAGGACGGATCGGGGGGAAATCCGGTTAGCCCCCGCCCGCCTCATGCCAGTGTCGGCTCGCCCCACAGCTCGGCGCACCCCGGGGAGCAGAAGCTGGAGTCTCTGCGGGGCCTGATGAGCTGTCTGTCGAGCGGCCTGGGCCCTGCTCCCCAGCGCTCGGGTCGTAGCCTCCCTAGCCGCACCCCCACCGCCGCTGCCCAGCCAGCTGGTGCATTAAAGATTTAAGCTGAATCCCACCGTATCGACTTCTTGACTCTGCCGCCGCTGCCGCAATTCGAGCTGAAATTCTCTTTCCACACTGGCTGTTTCCTCCTGACAGGGCCTCCCTCCCCGTTAGGGTGCCCTTCCATGTTAAGGTTATTCCTAAGAGCCTCTCATCATTGTGAAGACTCCTGTTACTCTGACTGCCTCCCCATCACACCCATCACCCCCCGCCCGCCAAAAAAAAAAAAAAAAAGCCACCCATCACTGCGAGTTGCCTATATGGAGACAACTAATCCTGGTCTGATCTTCCTCTCAATTTTATCCCACCTTAATGTGTTGTTCCCATAACCCCAGTTCTCTTACCATCTTCCTTCTACCCAGGAATTTGCCAGTTATCTGAAGAATCTTCTCTTCCTGGGAGTGGATCTAAAACATTATAAGCCAGAAGTGTAGGATGCATGCTTGTGAGAGGAGTGAAAGATTCCTAGAAGCTGCCTGCCACAGGGGAGTGACAGGTTGAAGACCTTCCCTCCAGTTAAAGTTCCAACTTTTGCCTCCTCTGGTATGATTTCAAGTTTAAAGATACTTGGTATCAACCCACCCTGTGCTTCTTACTACCTTCCTAGGAGAGTCTAAGGACCACTCCTTAGACCTAGTGGTCCTAAGGACCACTCTCCCTTCTGTCTAGTCACCTAGCCAGTCTGGCACCCACTTACAGCTAAAATGGTAAGAGTCAAGGCCTACTACATAGGCTCAAATCCAGAAAGGACACCAGAGGATTAAGTTAAAGAGATAGCCCACTTGCTGACTGGGGCCAAAGCTGACTTTCAGCCTGTAGCTGCCGCTGTTTTTCTTACAACAGATGTGGATGGGGTAAAGACTTGGCCTTAACTTTGGAGAAGCCAAAGGGGAAGAGTGGAAAAAAGTCTAGGAAAGACCACAGTGTGTGTAGCAGGCAGCCAGCTGATGGAGAAAGGTCTGTAACATGACTATAGAAACGGGGGAATTTCTTTGGGACTTCAAAAGCTACACCCCAGCTGTGGAGTACAAGTCTAGATTGGAGGGTAGGAGAAGGACCCTAAGGCTTCTGCTACCAGAAGTTATAAATGAACAACCTCAGGGTTATGGTCACCTTCAACAAAGTACCCAAGCTCTTGAGCCACTTTCTCACAACATTTACATCAAAGAATCCTTCATTTATCCCTAGGACTTCTGAGCTTTAAAAAACAAGACTTAAAAAAAAGATAAACAGGCTCGGCACCTGTGGCTCAAGCGGCTAAGGCGCCAGCCACATACACCTAAGGTGGCAGGTTCGAATCCCCAGCCTGGGCCCGCCAAACAACAATGATGGCTGCAACCAAAAAATGGCCGGGCGTTGTGGCGGGCACCTGTAGTCCCAGCTACTTGGGAGGCTGAGGCAGGAGACTCGCTTGAGCCCAGGAGTTGGAGGTTGCTGTGAGCTGTGATGCCATGGCACTCTACCCAGGGGGATAGCTTGAGGCTCTGTCTCAAAAAAAAAAAGGATAAACAGCCCCGCACCCATCACACAGTGGTTACGGCACCAGCCACATATACCGAGGCTGGCAGGTTCAAACCTAGCCTGGGCCAGCTAAAACAACAATGACAACTGCAACAAAAAATAGCCAGGTGTTGTGGCGGGCACCTGTAGTCCCAGCTACTTGGGAGGCTAAGGCAAAAGAATTGCTGAAGCCAAGAGTTGCAGGTTGCTGTGAGCTGTGATGCCACAGCACTCTACTGAGGGCAACATAGTAAGACTCTATCTCAGAAAAAAAAACCTTCAAATGTGGAGTGCCCTGTCTAGCCCAGGGCTCACATCTCACCAGGATGCTGTCAGAACCCCTGAAGATCCTGGAAATAAATTCTAGGGCAGGGCCCTCAAGTCTAACCCTGGATAGGAGAGAGAAGAGTCTAAAATTTTCATCCTGAAAGGGGACTAGCACCTACTTTGAGAGCTGAAGTCCCTCCTGATTGTTGAAGCGGACCTGTAGCAGGAAGGGCTTCCCAGAGAAAGTGTGAGTCCTATCCCAAGAGTCCTGCCCCATAGCTAGTGGCTGACCCTAGAGTGGAATACCAAAAGATAACCCTGCAACAACCAAATAAAGGCTGGATTATTGAGTTATGACTCAATTTATGTTTCAAATACAGAGCAGAACTTGAGGATTGAAATCCCTAGATCAAGAGTAGGAAGTTCTTTAAGGAGCCAGGAACACTAAACCCAGCACTGTGCCCCTGCCCTATCCTAGGCAGCCCCTAGCTTCCTAGAAAGGACTGGATGAAGAGGGGTGGGAGTTTGCATTAGGGAGAAGTGGGTAAGGGGAATGAGGGCTGGGTACAAGATTAGAAGAAAGAAGGAAATGGGAGGTTGAGGTTGTAGCAGCTAGAGGATGAGAGGCAGAGGGTGTAGGGGTTGGAGAAGAGGGTATTACTGAATCCTAGTCAGGAATGGAGATGTTCCTCCAGGCACACAGTGGAAAAAGGAGCTCATGAGTCTGTCTCCAACAAGTCAGGGACTGACTCTGGAGACCTCAGGGCCTGCTGGCAAGAGCTTGGCATTCCTGGAACAGGACTAGGCAGAAACAAGAAGATAATACTTCTTGGTCCTTTCAGCTGTTTTGATAGCAGCAACCTCACACCAAAGAGTGGGTTTTTTGTTGTTGTCGTTGTTTGGTTTTTTTGAGACAGTCTGTTACCCTGGGTAGAGTGCTGCATGGCATCATAGCTCACAGCAACCTCAAACTCCTGGGTTCAAGAAATTCTCCTGCCTTATGCTCCTGTGTAGGTGGGACTAGAAGCGCCCATCCCAACCCAGTTAGTTTTTCTATTTTTATAGAGACGGGGTCTTTCTCATGCTCAGGCTGGTCTTGAACTCCTGGCTTAAGTAATCCACCCACCTCAGCTTCCCAGAGTGCTAGGATTACAGGCGTAAACCACCACACCTGACCACCAAAGAGCTTTTATCTGTTCTCTTCTATTCTACTTTTCCTTCCTGTCTTCCTGGAGAAAGCAGCATTTCCCCTTCAGCATCTCTAAGGCACTATCAACATTACCAAAAAGGGCCTCCTCATATTTTCTCTGAATGTGGCTGGCCTCAGCCAAGACTTGCCTTCTGTTAGGAGCTGCTTTCAGGACCCATTCCCATCAGTTTCTTCTGATAAGCCAGGCAAGCCAGGGCAGGAAGTGGGGAAGGGAAGATGAGGGCAAGTTGGTGCTGGCTTCCCCTCTGCTCCCACCCCACTCAACTCCCGCCAGAATCTGTGTTAGTTTGACTGGATGATTGTGAAAACACAGCCATGTGGGAGTGAGACTTTGAGAATAACAAGGGCTATATGATTTTGTCTATCATTTTCTGATTATGGGTATGTATGACTTTGTGAGATTGACCAAGTGATCAAGATGTGACTGTGAATGTGTATATGGGTATATAAGTGTGAATGTCTATGATTAGATGCGACTGTGGATACTTGAGTGCCCTTTAGTCACTGTATCATATGTTCCCCCATCATGCAATAACCCTTTCCCCAGTTTCTCTGCTGAGGGTTTAGGAGCCCATGGAAAATGGCAGGTCTGGAAGAGGAAGGGGTCCATGGCAACAAGTCAAGAATTAGGGCCCTAGAGGAGATAAGGTGTGATGTATTCATCACACCTCCCTCTGACTCATGTGGTGCACATAAAAGACACCCAAATCAAAGGTAGAGGAGGAGGAGAAGGAAGTTTCCAGGCTGAGCAGCATGAAGCCCTCACCCATCAGCAGCCTCCTTCTGCTACTGTTGCTCCTAATCCCAAACTCTGGAGCAGGTGAGTATTTGGGTGGATAGAAAGCTGGGATCTGGGCTCAGCACCTGTACCTCGGTGGTGAGGGCACTGGCTACATACACCAGGGCTGGGGGATTCAAACCTGGCCCAGGCCTGCTAAACAACAGTGAAAACTACAACAAAAAAACAGCTGGGCATTGTGGCAGGCACCTGTAGTCCCAGATGCTTGGGAGGATGAGGCAAGAGAATCACTTAAGCCCAAGAGTTTGAGGTTGCTGTGAGCTATGATGCCATAGCATTCTACTGAGGGCAACATAGTGAAACTCTGTCTAAAAAAAAAGAAAAGAAAAGAAAGCTGGGCTCTGGGTGAATAAGATGAAGGGGAAGAGGCCAAGGAAGTACAACCTCACTTCCAACTGTCTGATGGAGAGGTCCTTGGTCAGGATCCTTCTGAACACATGCCCCTGTTGTCCCCTAGCATTGCTAATACCAGCCAGCGCTACCTGCTGTACTCAGCTCTACCGACACCAACTCTCAAACAAGCTACTGAGGAAGGTCATCCGAGTGGAACTTCAGGAGGCTGATGGGGACTGTTATCTCCAGGCTTTTGTGTGAGCTCTGACCCCACCTCAATACCCCTGACTCTGACCTCAGCCCCAACCCTTAATGCTGACCCCAACCCCAACCCCAACCCCAACTGCTAACTCTGATGCTGACTCAGGTTTTCATCTTGTCTTTGCCCCTGATCCCTGGACCCTAACCTTATCCCCAAGCTATGGGCATAGCCTTAGACCTTTCCCTTCCCAGGCTTCACCTGGCTCGACGCAGCATATGCATCCACCCCCAGAACCACAGCCTCGCTCAGTGGTTTAAGCAACAAGGGAGAAGGCTCCAGGGAACCCTACCCAACCTGAATTTGGAGCTGCTAGGGAAGATGGGCCAGAGCCCCCAACAGCCGAAATAATAAAGCAGCATTGAACAAATAATCTGAGTGATTTCCAAGAACTTCCTCATTCTCTTTATTTGCATCTTCACAGCCCCTGCAAGGGGCAAGGCCAAGAGCCAAGGACCCACACACACTCCCCAGGTACCTACATATATACATGTAAATAGAGAACACACGTTCCCTGCTTCACATACACATGGACACAAATATACACATCTGCACACATTCCTCAGGTGGAACTCTAGCTGTGGGATGCAATCAGATCCAGGCACCTTTCAGCTGGTAAAGGGTCTCACAGAAATTGGTTCCAAACAAAACTTCCATCTGAGACCCTGTCCATAGGGATCTACAGTCCTGCCTGGATTCTATCTGTCCATTCATCTGCACCAGCAAGACAGTTATATGTGGAATCAGCTAAAGCCTTTATGGGTCCTCTACAGGTTTGGAGCTCCTAGAAGAAGTAGGAGGCAAATCAGGAGAGATGGTGGGACTGGATCTTGGCCTAGATACCCAGGGGACTGAGGGAGATGACCCAGTTCTGAGCCCCACACTGAGAATAAGTGGAGGATCCCAACTCTGAGGGAGCCGCTTCAACATCCTGAAAAACGGGGAGTAAATCTAGCTCTTGGCCCTGAGTGCCAAAAATGAAAGCAGGGACCCAGCACTGATTGAAGACACCTATGCCCTAAAAAAGATGGTATCTAGCTCTGAGTCTGACACCCTGAAATTGAGGAGAGGAGTCCATTTAGGATCTTCAGTACACTGAGAGAGAGGAAAGACTCATTTCTGAGCCCAAAGACTCAAAAAGGAAAGGTCCAGTCCTCAGCCTAAATATTGTAAGAATGAGAGATCCAACTTGGATTCCAACACCCTAAAAATGACTACACCAACCAGCGCTTAATCCAGGAACTCTCAAAATGGGGGCACACTTTTCCAAATCTAAACTTCCTGGAGGTCTTACTCACCTGGAAGCCTGTCCACTGGAATTATTGGAGCCAAGAACCTAGGCTTTTGGGATCCATCCTTCCTACTCCATCTCATCCTCAACCTAGGGCATAAAAAGGCAGCTGTCTTCCAAACAATGTGGGGCATCTCGGTCTCTTCCAAAAAGGTATATTAGTAAAAGGTCAGGAGAGGAATCAGGAGAAACATGAAGTGGAGTGTAAGGGATAGAGGTAGTTCCAGAATCAAACTAGTTCAGTGGGAAGTTATAAAGGGTGAAGATAAATGTAGTCTATGAGCATCAGGGCATCTGCAGGGATCAGAGGCTCAGGGACCAATGGCAGTCACTTACCAGAGCCCTAGTGCCAGGACCCCAGCAACCAGTCCCAGCAAGGAGAAGATTCCCAAAGATGCTAGCACAGCCACCTGCTCCAGGGTGTCTCTGTGATCTAGGGAAGAGAGTCACATCCCACTGTAAGAGCAAGCCTGACCAAACTCAGTTCTCCTCTCTGGGGTTTTAGGTCCTCTATAACTTTTGCCCATCTCCCCAAGCTCACCAAGAGGCAGCGAGTCTGGTTGAAGAGAGGGCCTTGGAGGAGCCGGGCTGTCCACCTGAGGCTCTGCCTCTGGCTGCACGTGTAGCTGGCCTCCAGCTGGGATTTCCTTCTGTAGGGTCCCTAAAGGAAAGCCGTACCTGAGAAGTGTCCACAAGCAGTGGGGGCAGGGCCAGGTCCTGCAGGCAGGACCAAGACCTGGGTTGGAAACAGGGGTGCCTGAAAGGAGGATGTAACTCATAGAAGTGGAGCCTATGACAGCAAGGGTGGAGCTGAAGCTAGGGCAGGGATGTAGGCAACTGAGACTGAAGCCCAGGATAGCAATTGCAATGCCTGAGTAGGCAGGGCATGTGCCATGGCCACCTTCTGTGACTTCATCCAGCTGGGATATGCTTTAAAGGGGGGCCTCTGCCCCTTTCTTTGGCTCTGTCTCTCACCAGTGCTTGGAGTCCCCCAGGCCTCTGGGCTCCAGGCACTCCAGGTGCCAGCGTCCAGAAAGTCCCGGGCACTGACCCGTACAGCATGGGGCAGCCCAGCCACAGCATCTGTAATCACCTCCTCCAATCCAGCTGGCTCCACCTTGGGGGTGAAAATGGTTTGTCAGTGCAATATCCAGTAATTGCAGAGCCTACTCAGATACAGTTTGCAAAGAAAACCCCTTTCTCCCAGTCACATCCCTGTCAGCCTAGTGGAGCTGTCTAGACCTCCTCACATTGGGTGCCTGGTGGGGTTGGGCCTACACACTTAGAGTCTAGAAGATAGTAGTATATAGAGATTACTTCGAGGGGAGTGATATCAGGCTATCTGGATTCAAATATTTGCTAAACCATATACTTGGTGACCTTTGTTTCTTCATTTGTAAAATGGGGTGAATATTCCCAAATAAGATAAGGTATGGTGTGGTCCTAGTACTTTGGGAGGCTGAGGTGGGTGGATTGCTTGAGCTTAGGAGTTTGAGACCAGCCTGAGCAAGAGCCAAACTCTATCGCTACTAAAAAAAGAAAAGCTAGTCAAACATCATGGCAGGTGCCTGAAGTCCCAGCTAAAGAGGCAAGAAGCAGAGGCAAGAGAATCACTTGAGCCCAAGAGTTTGAGGTTGCTATGAGCTATGATGCCACAGCACTATACCCAGGAATGAAACTTTATCATATAAATAAATAAACAAATATTGGTTATTATCTGATGCTACCACTTCCCAGGCCTGATGCCAGACAATCTTTAACATCTCCAGAGGTGGAAATCACCACTATCCTGAGCTGAGGATACGAGTGCTTGTGTAAGGATGTGCCTCTTATAGAAAGTCACTTCTTTTCCTAGAAAAGTTATTTTTTAAAAGCCACAGTGTGTCAGTCACCACCTCAACTCCAGCACCCAGTACAAACCACAGGAAGCACTCTATAGGGGGAATCGTCAAAGCTTCAGTGACCAGGAAGAGCAACGAAGCTATACAGAACACTCAGGATCATGAAACCAGAGACAGGATCTCTAGCCCCAGGGTGGGACACACTGCAGGCCTCACCGTGGACCAGGCTGGATGCTGCACTGGACGGTACTGCAGCCGGAACTTGAGCAGGAAGTGGGGCTGACGGGGCCAGGAGGCAGGGTATGTCCAGCTGGCATGCAAACGTCTGGGATAACCTGGTACTGACTCTACTCGTAGCCCTTGGGGTGGATCAGGGCGCACTGAGGGAGTGAGATACAAAGTCAGGGTAGGGGACAAGTACCTATCCCTTCTCCAGCACTTCCAAAGGTATATGTTTAAAGGTACCTTAGCCTAGCACTCCCAAGAGGCAAGGGGAAATCTTAAACTTGACCATTAGGCTCAGAACCTGTCATCTTTATTATAAAATGAGCTGAAATGGGGGGGGGGGCGCTTTTAAAGTGCTTGTAGAGTGAATAAAAGAACAATTGTTCTTTTCATCTAACGTGAATCGGCCTAAATTCCAGCTAGTTTTAATGCCCCACTCCCATGCAGATCAAGAGGAAGGAGGGGCCAGCAAGAGCTCCTTGGGCATGAGGACATGAGCTGTGGCTGCCTGAAGCACAGGGCCCAAAAGCAGGAGTCAGCTCTGAAGTTACACAGCAAGGAAGGATTTGTAGGTAGTGGCAGAAGCCTCTACAGTATGTTATTTCTTAGTGTCCACAGGGCCATCTGAGGTTGGGATAAATGGAATCTATGTTGGGAAGGGACTGTTCAGGAGCTCTGAGGGTAAAGGGGCTAAACCCATAGGGGTCACTGTGGTGGGAATGTGAGGGGTGGGCTTGGGGTGGGTACTCACAGATGCTCTGCAAGCTTACATCCAGCAGGCGTGTGCTGGCACCCAGTGGGTTCACCTCTGTCACATTAATCCGGTACTGGCTCCAGAACTCTGCCCCATAGACTACACAGCGGGAAGCCCCTGGGAGGTCCTGTGGGCATGGCCAGGGCCCTGTGGATGGACTCCTCCTAGGAGTGAGGATGTGGTCTTAGACTTTGGAATGTGAGACCAATATGGAGCCCCCTGTCTCTCCCTCATGTCCTACCTCTGGCCATCAGCTCCTGGTACTGTCTTCTTCCTGGTGAGGAGGGGGCCATCTGTAGTCAGAACATTCCTCCCTGCCTCCCATACTCATGTTGTGCCACCACACCCAAATGTGTAGGCACACTCACCCGATCATGCACACACCTGTAGGAGGTGAGGTAGCGGGTAGGTAAACCGCTGACCTGGCTGGGACTCCAAGTGCAGGAGAAGTTCTCATAGTCAGCTGCTTGGCAGGAGACAACAGGACGGGCTGGGGGATCTAGAGGCGAAGAGCACAGCTGGAGACTGAACAGTCTCCAGTTCCTCCCTATCCTAGAGGGCTTACTCAGGGCCTGGATTCCCAGAATGGGGCCCATGTCTCATCAATTCCACCCTCCCCGACTCACAGCCCAGCTGCAGGGTCACTGTGCCCCCAAGTGCACCATCCAGGGTCCGGCAGATGTAGGTACCCTCGTCAGTGCTGTCTACCCGGGCTAGGACTAGTTCAGGCCCTAGCCCAGAGTCCGATTCCTGGAGCAGCCGTGGGTCCCCAGGTTCCGTACCTCCCCGAAACCAGGACACTGGGGCCCTGGAGGTAAGATGAGGTGATGACAGTGAAGATTTCAAGTATAAGTCAAACCATGCCACAGCTTTCCATTGGCTCCTAACTCCACTTGCAATAAAACCCAAATTCCTTCCACTGGCTTATAAAGCCCCTTGTAAGCTAGCTCTTGCCTCCTTTTCCTTCCTCAATTTTTACCTCTCTCCTGCTTACCCATTGCACTCCAGCCACACTAGTCTTCTGTTTCTCAGAGGTATTGGGCTCATTCTTACCTCTGGGCATTTGCACTAGCTGTTCCTTCTATTAGGAATCGTTGTACCCTAATCTATACATGGCTGGCTCCTTTCTCACCTTCGGAAATCAGCTTCAATGCTGCCTTCTCAGAGAGACCTTTCCTGATTACCAGTAAAACATAATTACCCAGTCATCCTCTTCCAAATCACTCTCTTTGGCTGTTCTGTCCTGCAGGTATGACTACCTAGCAAGGTT